CAATAATGATTTTTAATTTCTATTCAACTGTAGTTTGTAATTTTGTATTACTGTATTTGTTAAATTCATTTATAAATGACCAATGACGATAAGTTTTGACAAATAAAGTTTACACGAAAGTATAAAAATTAAAAAATACCTTCACAGGTACCTATATAAGTATCATGTTAATTCCACTTTGAAACAACGTATGTATAATTACCTTTGTAACAATTGTACTTTCACGTTTCTCATTTCATACCAATGTAAAGTAAAATCTTCTATTGTGCAAATTTATATACATTCCTACGCTCATTTCGTATCGCGAGTTTCACTTATTCCTTTTAAACGAAAAAACGAGATGATAAAGCATTCGTGCAATACGTGGAATTACATAGATGAAACAGCTGGAGATCGTATTAGTCAGCTTGAAAGCATCTGGTGCAAAAGGCAAGTCAGTTATAACGAAGGGTTAATTTAACAAAAATGATTCACATGAATAATTTAGGTGATTTTCGTTTCATCGTGAAATTTCACACTCCCTTTGTTACACATTAACGAAACTATAAAACTATTTTACGCAATGACAAATTATTATCCGCGTAATTATTCGCGTAATTCATTCAAAACCACCGAATTTCCATCGCGATGGCATAAAACAAATGGCAAAAGGTCATCGGCAATAGTGAAAATGATTTCGACGATTGACCTGCTTTCGTTCTTTTTAAATAACACTTTGATTGTACCCAGAAGTCAGAAACAATATGTACTACATTAAGAATATTTAACATAAGTCGAACAATTCACGTGTATCGATAAAACATACGCCTTGTCGAATATTATTTTTCTTTCAGCTATCTCAAATTTTTCTATGTATCGATTAAATGTCGTATTGATTATTCAGTTTTACTCGTTCTAAAGTAGAAATTTCTGAAAATGTTCAAAACAACGTGCCTAATTCATCGTCTAACCTTTGAAGTGCAATTTTCTTTTTTCTCGACAAAATTGAGTGGAAATTTTCAATATCTGAATACACCGGCATGGCTCTATACTCACTTTGAAGAAAGAGCACGAGAAATAGTTATTTAATAGGTCAAACGGTTCTTGGAACGGGGTTTTTCTTAAATTAATTGAACTTCTTTTACAACATGCCCGGCGTCTGCCACTTTAAAGCGTTACCAAAGGAAGCCGAGCATTCGTAATTTTTCACCTGGGCTCTCCTTTCGCCGGACGCGAAAACTTTTCTTGTCTCTTTAAAATAAAGGCAATTAACGTTTTACAGTGAAAGCCAGTGTCATTTTTAAACAGAAGCGGCGACGGTACCGGCGGCCTGTCCCTTTATAGAGTATAATCGTTTCTGAAGCGAGCCCACGGTGTCCACGGTGAAGAATCGCCAAAAGGCAGCAAGAAAATCGAGAAGACCGGGGAGTAATGGATCTCCACGATTTTCTTGATATTTCATTTCGCTTTAATTGAAGTCCATTACTTAAAACCGACTACTGATATTTTCAAACGTACCCGGGACTCCTCTGCCGCGAAAAGTGGAGATAGGTATTACTAAAAGTACCGAGGAGCAAAAAGGAATCTAGAGCATAGATATCCAGAAAGGTTGTTTAACCCGTTGACCTCGTTAAACGGCCACGAAAAAGTTAAGTGAATTTCTCTCTGTTTCTTCTTTCCCTTCGCCGAACTCTCTCTCTCTCTCTCTCTCTCTCTCTCTCTCTCTCTCTCTCTCTCCCTCC